TATTCAATACCTCCCATCTATCTCTTACATTTACATTACATTTACGTCATTTAGCAGACGCTCTTATCCAGAGCGACTTACAAATTGGTGCATTCACCCTATAGCCAGTGGGATAACCACTTTACAATTTTTATTTTTATTTTTTTTAGGGGCGGGGGGTAGAAGGATTACTTTATCCTATCCCAGGTATTCCTTAAAGAGGTGGGGTTTCAAATGTCTCCGGAAGGTGGTGAGTGACTCCGCTGTCCTGGCGTCGTGAGGGAGCTTGTTCCACCATTGGAACAAGCTCTTAACACCATCCATATAGGATTTCTATTTGCCATATATATTTCAACCGTACTGTGATGTTTTACAAAAGTTCTGAACCTTTCTATTCTCATTGCTTCTACAGATTGTGAATTAAAAATAAACATTTTTGCTAAAAGTATTATTATATTATTGATTGATTGACTATGACTTTTCAGATCACCCAGTAATGCTATCTGCAAGGTTAGTTCCAGGTAAATAGTTGTGTCCAAAAACAAGCTACAAATGGACAGAACCAAAACAAATGATCTAATGATTCTGTCTCTTCACAGCAAAATCTGCAGAGCTGGGAAGATTGTATCCCCCATATAAATAACATTCTATTGGTAGCAAGAATTTTATATAATAATTTAAATTGAAAGATTCTTAATTTTTGAATCCGGTGTCGTTTTGCGTGTCAGTTCATAAACACTATGCCATGGGATCGGTACGTCAAAGATCTCTTCCCAACTATTTTGCAATCTATATGGGACGGCTGTCAATCCTTTGGTCCTTAAGTGAAACTGATATACTTTTTTATTTATCACAGTTTTCCTTAACCAATTATGTTCTTTAATGCAAGGCCGACAGACAAGATCCTTACTTTCTCCCCCTTCCACTTTCCTCTTCCACTTTTGCGGTAAGGCTGCAATTATTTGGTTGTAATTTTGGGTAGAGCAGACATTTCCATATGTTTTTGTCAGCTGTATGTGCGACATAACTCCACCAGTCCTACCGATGATATCATTTACGAAGATTATACCTTTTTTAAACATTCTGTCAAAAAAGAAAGGTTTTTTGTCAATTAGTATATTTTGAATTTAACCACAATATTTGTTGCATTATTTGTTCTGTCGTTTCTGGAGGATTAAATTGAAATTGCAACCAACTTTCTATGGCTTGTTTTAGAAATAGTGACATTTGGGAGATTATTTCCTTTTCAAATAACTGAAAGTGAGAGGTTGTAATCTGAATAAAGGGAGAAAAAAAATTATTCAACATTGGGTGAGACAATCTTACTAATTTGCTTGAGAACCAGTTTGGATTTAAGTATAACTTTTGTATGACTGAAGCTTTTAGTGATAGGTCTAATGCTTTAATATTTAATAATTTCTGTCCTCCGAATTCATATTCATTATATAAATATGCTCTTTTAATTTTGTCTGGCTTGCCGTTCCAAATAAAATTGAATATTTTTTTCTCATATAATTTAAAAAACTGTTCGCTAGGCATAGGCAAGACCATAAGCAAATAGGTAAACTGGGATAATACTAAAGAGTTAATCAGGGTGATTTTTCCACAAATTGACAGGTATTTTCCTTTCCATGGTAGTAAGATCTTATCTATTTTTGCTAACTTTCTATTAAAATGTATTGAAGTGAGATCATTTATTTCCTTTGGGATATGTATTCCGAGTATATCCACATCACCATCAGACCATTTTATTGGTAAACTACATGGTAATGTAAAAATTGTATTTTTTAGTGATCCAATACGTAATATAGTACATTTGTCATAATTTGGTTGTAATCCAGAGAGGTTAGAAAATGTATCTAGATCCTCTATGAGGCTGTGGAGGGATTCTAGTTGTGGATTTAAAAGAAAACATGAATCATCAGCGTACAATGACACCTTTGTTTTTAAGCCCTGTATTTCTAATCCTCTGATATTATTATTGGATCTGATTTTAATAGCTAACATCTCGATGGCCACAATAAATAGATATGCCGATAGTGGACAACCTTGTTTCACTCCTCTTGACAGTTTAAAACTTTCTGAGAAATAGCCATTATTTACTATTTTACACCTAGGGTTACTATACATGATTTTGACCCATTTTATAAGAGATTCTCCAAAATTGAAATGCTCCAGGCATTTATATATAAACCCTAGTCGAACTTTATCAAATGCCTTTTCGAAGTCTGCTATGAATAGCAGGCCTGGTTTCCCATATTTTCCATAGTGTTCTATTGTTTCCAATACTTGCCTTATATTATCTCCAATGTATCTTCCATGTAAAAAACCTGTCTGATTAGAATGAATAATATCCGACAATACCTTTTTAATTCTATGCGCTATACATTTTGCTAGGATTTTTGCATCACAACACTGAAGTGTAAGGGGCCTCCAATTTTGTAAATGGACTGGATCTTTATATTTTCCACTTGTATCCTGTTTCAGTAATAATGAGATCAGACCTTCTTCTTGAGTGTCAGATAATCTACCATTTACATAGGAGTGGTTAAAACATGCTAATAACGGTCCTCTTAGTATATCAAAAAAGGTTTGGTATACCTCGACTGGTATGCCATCCAACCCTGGAGTTTTCCCAGACTTAAAGTCTTTAATTGCATCCAGAAGTTCCTCCTCTGTAATTTCACCTTCACATTAGTCTTTCTGTGTGGCTGTTAATTTGACATTATCAATAGAAAAAAAATCTCTACAATTAGCTTCAGTTAGAGGAGATGGAGGCGACTGAAAAGAAAACATATGCTTAAAGTACTTTGTTTCTTCCTTCAAAATATCATTTGGTGAATTATGGGTGACTCCGCCAATTGTAACCAGTTTCATTAAGTTCTTTTTGGTAGCATTCCTATGTTGAAGATTAAAAAAGAATTTTGTGCATTTTTCCCCATATTCCATCCAGTTTGCTTTATTTTTATAATATATTACACTTGATCTTTCTTGAATAAGTTTCTCCATTTCTTTTTGTTTTTCCTCTAATTTATTCTGAGCCTCTATGTTACAGTTTTTATTGCCATCTATCTGTTCTGTTAGACTTTCTATTTCCTTTGTTAGTATAAACTCTTTTGACCTAAATTGCTTTTGTTTTCGAGATGAGTACTGAATTGCATGGCCTCTAAAGGCACATTTAAAGGTGTCCCATACAATAAGGGGTTTCGCTGTACCTATGTTATGTTGGAAAAAGTCAGTTATAAATTCCTTTGTTCTAATTATAAATAAATTATCATCCAATAGGCTTTGATTAAATTTCCAATATCCTCGCCCACGTGGAAATTCAGTAAGAGTAATGTATATGCCTATTATATGATGGTCCGACCGCATTCTGTCCCCTATCAACACTTTTTTTTACTTTTGGTGCCAACGAGAATGAGATAAGAAAGAAGTCAAGACGACTAGCTTGATTCAGTCTCCGCCATGTATATCTCACTAGATCAGGATATTTAAGCCTCCATATATCTACTAGTTCTAATGTATCCATGACATTCACAATTTCCTTAAGAGCATGTGGGTGATTGTTTGTGGTGTGATTTCCTTTACGGTCCATTGAGCTATTTAAAACAGTATTATAATCCCCCACCATAGTAATATTGTCTTGAGTTGCTTGCAGGCTTGATAATTTATTATATATATTGTCAAAGAATTGTGGATCATCATTATTTGGTCCGTAAAGGTTAATGAGCCATATCTGTTTATGGTCCAATAACATATTTAAAATAATCCATCTACCTTGTGTATCTATTTGTACAATTTGCACATTCGGATCGAAATTACTATTAATTAATATCATCACCCCTTTTGAATTTCTTTGCCCATGGGAGAAGTATATTTCCCCCCCCCCATTCTTTTTTCCATGCTACTTCATCTCGAATTGTTGAATGAGTTTCCTGTATACAATAGATATTATATTCCTTCTCTTTGAGCCATGTAAATATTGTTCTTCTTTTGTTATTATCAGCTAAGCCATTACAATTATAACTGGCTATACTTATTTCACCATACACCATAATGAGATACAAGTTTCAAGTCTATTTATCATTATATATGTTTGTAAATTTACCAATAAAAAATAGCGTAATGATTGAGTGTCCATATAGCTGTACCGTGATATTTGCATTGCTACGGAGCAACCCTTCAATTGTTCTCCACTAATTCCCCCGCTAAAGCCCCTCCCCATCCCAAGTTATCAGCCTTTGTCAAATGGGTTTCAGTTCTCCACAATGATACAATCATATCAGTTTTTTCTGTTTACCTTAGCTTGGCTGGCTGGCTGGTGGTGATACAGAACTACAGTGTGTCAATAGCATCACCAGGTATCTCTATCAAAAAGGGACAGAAACAGGCACCAAACATAGAAACAAAAGCAGCAAATGCTTTTCTATCAACATCTGCATTTGAAGGACGCATTAGATACTTCCAGATTATCCTTGATTTTAAGGCATGAATGTAAAAAGTGCTTGTATAGAGGAATACCTGACTTCATGCTGCTAGCTACCATGTGTGGGCATCAAATATACAACAAGTTAAATACTGTAGGTTGAGTTTTTATTGACTTTATTAATAATTAATTAATTAAATGAAATACTTTTTATTATTATTTTATTGTCCATTGACTTCTAGGTTCTCAGATCAGTTTGGGAAACTCTTGTGAGAAACTTCTGATGTAAATGAGAGTAAAACCCCCGGCTAAATGTGGAGTATCAATTTAGAAATTGAATACATAGTCTTCTTATCGAAGTATCGGTCAACCTCTTAACTTCCTGGGTGATCGTTACTCCTAATGTAGCCTCCTACGCCCCACCCAAAGGTACAGCTACGTCCCAAATGGCACCCTATTCTTTATATTATAGTGCACTACTTTTGACCAGAGACCATAGTCTAAAGTAGTGCACTATATAGGGAATAGGGTGCCATTTGGGACGCAGCCGATGACTTGGCAGCAGTGGGCAAACACAGAAGGACAGATGTAACAGTCCTCTATGAGGTCAAGCCTGCCAGTATCAGATTCACTTCAAACACAGCGAGTCTGAAGCCCAGTCTCTGTGTTGGCATTGGGGCATTAGAAACACACAGGAGCTGAGAGACTCCGCAGAAGCCAGGGTTTAAAAAAAAATTTAAGAGTTATTTTTACCTACCGAGAGAGAAGAAGGTTGTGATAGCGTTGAACGTTAGCTTTACCACAGAGAGAGAGGCAGGGTTCTGAGTTGGTTTCCCACTGACAGAGAAGACAGAGAGCCATCAGCATCATGGCGGCGACCCTGTGCCAGGTGATGGGCTTTATTCTGAGCCTGCTCGGTGTGGCTGGGATTATAGCCGCCACCGGGATGGACCAGTGGGGGACGGAGGACTTGAATGACAACCTTGTGACCTCCGTTTTCTCCTACTCAGGACTCTGGAGATCCTGCGTCCGACAGAGCTCCGGATTCACAGAGTGCCGACCCTACTTCACCATCCTGGGGCTACCAGGTACGTACGCTATGCCAAATATCCTGATAAAAGGTCGACTGAGACCAAAACATTGGTGATTAGATCCATTAAATGGTTGGCATCAAGATCACTGACGTGCTGGAGTTTTCCTCATTTTCAAACGTTCACCATGCCAACCTTACTTCCTGGGGCTACCAGGTACGGCGAACGCCATTGTCCTTACACAGCAGCAGCAGGCTCTACTCTACACAGTAGTGACCAGAGCAACACGTTGACATGACATGAGCTCTTTGACAGAACATGTAGAAGTAACTTGTTGATTTACTGTGAGAGTTTAAGTTACTCAGTTATTATGGATCCAGTTCAACAGTTAATTGAATGCAACTGACTAAAGTAAGTTGGACAAATTCCCATTTTATGTTACAGAAAGCCAAGAAAGTCAGGAAAAGTAGGACATTAGTTTAGGGTAGGTTAATTTACATAATGTTGGAATCGATGGACATTAGTTTAGGGTAGGTTAATTTACATAATGTTGGAATAGATGGACATTAGTTTAGGGTAGGTTAATTTACATAATGTTGGAATAGATGGACATTAGTTTAGGGTAGGTTAACTTACATAATGTATGAATAGATGGCAATATTGATTAATTAGTAAAAGTCACACCTCTGGGGGGATAGACTCAGAATCATGATTGAGAAATAGGTAAATATTGTCGTGTGGTGATTGGGAAATGTCTAAATACTTTGGATTTTGTTTCCTGAGAACCACATATGAAAAGAAGGTCAGGCGAGGCACACCCTTACTCGTACTGAAAATACAACCGTTGCCCGAAACTGTGACAGCAACTGATAACATTTTTTTGCAAACACCTCATAAGGTTATTTCCCTGTTCAAGAGTACATAGTGATAAGAACCAGAGGATTGACAGCCATTTCATGACTTCATTTACATCATGAAGCCAAGGAGGGGTTTGACATCGAACAAAAAGGGAACCTAAAATGGCCGCCGCAATGGTTCGCTTATCGGCTTTATGCTGGGTGTATTGGGCCAAGTTTTGATATCTGCTGCCACAGCTATGTGGGGTTTACAGGACCATTATTTCTTAGTTGTAACATCTCAATCGAGCTTTGTACGTCGAGTACCTCTCAAAGGTGTGGCTCTGTCTAGAAAATATATTACATCTGTTTATATAAGTAGACATTAATAAGTGGTATAAAACAAATTATTATTTTTTTCACTTGACTTTGAAACAAACCATTTTGAGCATTTCGAATCTAGTTTCTTCAGCAGCGTTTGATCTTTAACAGTGCGGGTTAAAGGCAGGAAGTGAGATTATCTTCCTGGGAAACAAAATATAGTTTAGTCAGTGGGTCATTTTAAGGAGTAGAGTTCAAGGCAATGATCCATAAAAGGTAAAGTTTGTTTTTGTCTCACAAAATCTAGTTTTATTGATTCAAACAACTTTAATAGATCAGATCGATCTTTAATTGATGCTAATGACGTTTTTTTTTTATCCCCATAAAAATCTGTCTGTTTAAACTAGAGATATTTGTTTTTGCACTGGCTGCATCTTAATCCACCACATCCGCCGATGTAAGCCTTCCGCATCTGCAGTGGAACGTGATAGCCCTGTTCGTCACAAGATATCCCGAAAAATCGGTCTTCTCATGAAAATGTCTGTAGCATCCGAACGGTTTGGCATAACAACTAATGTGACCCCACTATGGAAAGGGGAGACTTTCACGAACACAATGGTGTTTTTCAGCCCCCACAAGTGTCACGGGACTCGTCTGAAGGCAACCCGTTACCGGTAAAAAAAAAAAAATGGAAGTATGGAAGTAGTTCTGTGCCCTCCCCCCCAAAAAATAAGGGGTTAAATATGTGTCCAAAAAAACTACAATATTTTCTGATCTTTCTTACATCTCCTAGATATAGGACAGACACTTCGAAACCTAATTCCTTATGATACATTTTTTTGAATGTCTATTTTACAGTTTATTAATGTGTTATTTCATACGTTTCTATGGGCTATAGCAGTAAAGACCAAATTCAATATTTTATCAATTAATTATATATTTTTTTAATTGATACCTGCAGGGGTCCTAAAATTCAAAACCAAATAGCTAAATGATCCATGGTATAACCTTCTTAAAACAATTCCAAATGTTAGCTTAGTAGAGACCCCCAAAAGGCTTAGACCTTTAGGGGTAAAATAATTTGTCAAGAGCAGGAAGTGAGATTATCTTCCGGGCACAAAATATAGTTAAGCGGCCCCTCAAAACAGGAGTACTATACAGTGCCTTGCAAAAATATTTATCCCCCTTGGCATTTTTCCTATTTTGTTTCATTACAACCTGTAATTTTTATTTGGATTTCATGTAATGGACATACACAAAATAGTCCAAATTGGTGAAGTGAAATGAAAAAAAGAATTTATTTCAAAAAATTCTAAAAAATAAATAACGGAAAAGTGGTGCATACATATGTATTCACCCCCTTTGCTATGAAGCCCCTAAATAAGATCTGGTGCAACAATTACCTTCAGAAGTCACATAATTAGTTAAATAAAGTCCACCTGTGTGCAATCTAAGTGTCACATGATCTGTCACATGATCTCAGTATATATACACCTATTCTGAAAGGCCCCAGAGTCTTCAACACCACTAAGCAAGGGGTACCACCAAGCAAGCGAATACTTTCGCAAGCCACTGTAGGGCCCTAATCAATACAATAAAACAGGAGTACTATAGGGCCCTAATCAATACGACAAAACAGGAGTACTATAGGACCCTAATCAATACAACAAAACAGGAGTACTATAGGACCCTAATCAATACAATAAAACAGGAGTGCTATAGGGCCCTAATCAATACAACAAAACAGGAGTACTATAGGGCCCTAATCAATACAACAAAACAGGAGTACTACAGGGCCCTAATCAACTATAGGGCCCTAATCAATACAACAAAACAGGAGTACTATAGGGCCCTAATCAATACAACTTTTTTTGTCTTTTGAATGTAGATTTTAGAATAAATGTAGTTTTTAGCTTTTTTAAATGTTGGAACTGTCACGACTTCTGCCGAGGCTGCCCCCCCCCCCTCCTGGTTCGGGCAGGCTTCGGCGTTCGTCGTCACCGGAGTACTAGCTACTGCCGATCCCATTCTCATCACTCCACTTGTCATGTCTTGTCAATCACACACACCTGGTGCTCATTCCCCTAATTAGTATGTGTATAAGTGTTCCCTCTGTTCCCCCTGGTCTTTGTGAGTGATTGTTTCATTGTGAGAGCCAGGAGCTCGGTTGAGCTACTCTTCCATTTGTTATTGCCAAGGTGGAATATTTCCCTTGTAATAGTTTCGTTTTGACGCTGGGTGCGTTTTATTTATGTAAACGGAATAAACTCTTGACTTCGGTGTTTCACCTCCTGCGCCTGACTCCTTCATTCACACCTCGTCACAGGAACGTCTGTGATCTACATTAAACACCACAGTACTTTGGTAGATGTACAGAACACTAATAGGAAAGCAGTACTTATAGGATACACAAAATAACGGGACACCTAAGTTTAAATTGAAGACTAGTTTATCTGACTGTATGTTTTGGTTTGACCCGTAGCTATCTGACTGTATGTTTTGGTTTGACCCGTAGCTATCTGACTGTATGTTTTGGTTTGACCCGTAGCTATCTGACTGTATGTTTTGGTTTGACCCGTAGCTATGCTCCAAGCTGTGCGGGCCCTGATGATAGTGGGGATAGTTCTGGGAGCCATCGGCTGTCTGATCGCCATCTTTTCCCTCAAGTGTCTGAAGATGGGGAACATGGAGGACAACATCAAGGCTACCATGACGCTGACCTCTGGGGTCATGTTACTGCTCGGAGGTGAGGTGACGTTGTGGTAATGTTTTGGTAATGTTTTTGGTATTGATTTTCATAACTGGCAAGCAAAATCATTCTGATTCAATTTGGGTTTAAAGCCACAAAAATAAAAATTTCCGTGATCTGAAAATGACAATGGACAATACAGTCTTCTTCTTCTTTTCTAACCAACATGTCAATGTAATTTCCATCCTCCTAGGTGTTTGTGGCATTGCTGGAGTGTCTGTCTTTGCCAACCTAATCGTTACCAGCTTCCGGTTCACCACCTACGCAGATGGTGGATATGGAGGAGGAGGATTAATGGGGGGAGGGTTAGGAGGACTTGGAGGATCTCTCACTCCCAGGTACATTAAAGCCCTCATGCAGTCTTTTAAAATTTAGTTTATCAGCACTGTAGTCTAATAAACTAGTGTTTTTATTTATTTATTGACGAACAGTAACTCCAAATATATTTTTGTATCATTTGTGCCATTGAAATGCTCGGTCTAATTGTGTGGGCGTGTCAACACAAATGTAAATATATTTACATACACAGCCCTGATTGGCGGATAGGATCGTCTAGAGCCTACCCCGCTTACCCCTTTTTAAAGTAGGAGGATACATATGCAAATAAAAGATGACTGGTCATTGATCATAATAATCAGATCAGATTGTGATGTTTTTTTTTTAAACTGCACTGCCCCTTTAACTGCAACATGAGAAGGATTCAGTTTTGCTGCATCCCAAATGGCATCCTATTCCATATATAGTGCACTACTTTTGACCAGAGCCCTATGGGATGAGATATGGAATTTGTTTCTATTAGTGGACATGAACAAGTGGTATAAAACAAATATGTGGGCCCTGGTCAAAAGTAGTACGATATGTAGGGAATAGTGTTCCATTTAGAAGGCAAGCTTGGTTTATTAGCTGGTATCAATCATAAGGTCGTGATGCCAATTTGTCATTTTTTTTAAATGTGGCAATGTATCTCTTTGGTTTCTCAGGTACACCTTTGGCTCCGCCCTCTTTGTGGGTTGGATAGGCGGAGCCGTGCTGGTGGTGGGCGGGGTTTTGTTGTGTATGGCCTGTCGGGGGATGGTTCCACCAGAGGAGAAGAGACAAAAGTGAGTCGCATTTTATCCACCAGAAACGGGCTCATTCCCTCAATAGAAAATGACATCATTCTCTTGGAAAAACACACAAGGACTTTCAAATCATGAACACACGCCTCGTACATGATCCATCAATGGCTTTATAAATGAAAGTTACTGTGTGACCAAACTTTCAAGTAATTCCGGAATATTCCCATGTTATTCTTAATCGTTTAGTTTTCTTTCTCTCCTCAGTTATGGGATGGCCTACAAGCCTGCCTCCCACCACACTGCCGCGTACAAAGCTCCCACCAGACCCAGAGCGGCCTACGACGATTCTTTCAGAGCCCAGAGTATGGATGGAAGACAATCCAACCAGCAATATGTGTGAAGAACGTAACATTATGTACCAGTTAGGTTAAAGAGGTTCTCTGAAACTAAGCAAAAACTGTTTTAATGTATCGACGCCAATCTCATGTAGCTCTGAGGGGCTTAGAAGATTTCATAGAGTTGCTATAGAGGTTTCATAGAGGGTTGATATAGAGCAGGGTTCTTCAATTCCGGTCCTGGAGGGCCGAAACACTTCTGTTTTTTATTTCTACCTGGTAGTTAATTGCACTCACCTGGTGTCCCAGGTCTGAATTAGCCCCTGATTAGAAGGAGAGGATGAAAAACAGAGGTGTTTCGGCCCTCCAGGACCGGAATTGAAGAACCCTGATATAGAGGATTGCTATGAAGGAAATCCAATTTTTTTTTTTTAGGTTTGATTCGTTATTTTTGTACTTGGAGCTCCCTTATATTCTGTTTTTGTTATTCTGCATTTAAGGGGACAATATTGTAATTTTCTAATGCATCTGTATTAAAATAACCAAATATCCAGAACTTCATTTTTTTGTTTTTTTTATATACTCAAACACAGCATAAAAAAAAAATATATATATATATATATATATATATATATTTAAAGGTTGACGAACAATGCATTTCTTCACACATTGATTTGAGAAATATTTCATTAATTATTCATTATTTATTCATAATGCAAATAAGAAATATTATGAATATTGGTAATTTCCTTTAAAATGAGAAAATAACAAATATATTAACAATAGCTATTTCAAAATCATTTTAAAAAAAACATACAGTAAAAACATACAGTACACAATCCCTACAGGGCCTTCAGAAAGTATTTCCACCCCTTGACATTTTAAACATTTTGTTGTGTTACAGCTGGAATTTAAAATGTTTAAATTTATATTTTGTGTCGCTGGCCTACACACAATAACCCATAAAGTCAAAGTGGAATTATGTTTTTAAAACGTTTTTACAGATTAATAAAAAAATGAAAAACTCAACTGTCAATAAGTATTCAACCCCTTTGTTATGGAAAGCCTAAATAGGTTCAGGAATAAAAATGTGCTTTAACAAGTCAGATAATGAGTTGCATGGACTCACTCTGTGTGCAATAATAGTGTTTAACATAATTTTTGAATGACTAACTCATCTCTGTACCCCACACATACATTTATCTGTTAGGTCCCTCAGTCGAGCAGTGCATTTCAAACACTGATTCAACCACAAAGACCAGGGAGGTTTTCCAATGCCTCGCAAAGAAGGGCACCTATTGGTAGATGGGTATAAATAAATACAATCTGACATTAAATATCCCTTTGAGCATGGTGAAGTTATTAATTACATTTTGGGTGGTGTATCAGTACACCCAGTCACTACAAAGATACAGGCGTCCTTCTGAACTCAGTTGCCGGAGAGGAAGGAAACCACTCAAGGATTTCACCATGAGGCCAATGGTGATTTTAAAACAGTTACAGTGAAAAGAAGGAAGCCTGTACAGAATAAAAATATTTAAAAACCTGCATCGTGTTTGCACTATTATCGCACACAGAGACCATGCAACGTATTATGTGACTTGTTAAGCACATTTTTACTCCTGAACTTATTTAGGTTTGCCATAACAAAAGGGTTGAATACTTATTGACTCAATACATTTCGGCTTTTTCATTTTGAATTAATTTGTAAACATTTCGAAAAACATAATTCCACTTTGACATTATGGGGTATTGTGTGTAGGACAGCGACAAACAAATCTAAATGTAATACATTTTAAATTCAGGCTGTAACACACAAAAAATAAGGAAAAAAATCAAGGAGTGTGAATACTTTCTGAAGGCACTGTATTTCATTTTCAATACATTTGCTAACATTTCTAAAAACATGTTTTCAGTTTGTCAGTATGGGGTATTTTGTGTAGATGGGTGAGAAAAACGTATATTTAATCCATTTTGAATTCAGGCTGTAAGATAAAATGTGGAACAAGTCAAGGGGTATGAATACTTTCTGAAGGCACTGTATCTCACTATATCTCATTACAACATTCAAAGTACCAACATAGTTTGATTCCTACCAAGAAAGTACCTATATATACGGAACAAAAATAAAATATAAAATGCAACATGCAACAATTTCAACAATTTTACTGAGTTACAGTTCATATCAGGAAATCAGACAATTGAAATAAATTCATTAGCCCCTAATCTATGGATTTCACATGACTGGTCGCAGCCATGGTTGGGCCTGGGAGGGCATTGGCCCAACCACTGAGGAGCCAGGCCCAGCCAATCAGAATTAGTTTTTCCCCAAAAAAGGGCTTTATTACAGACTGGAATACTCCTCAGTTTCATCAGCTGTCCGGGTGGCTGGTCTCAGACAGTCCCGCAGGTGAAGAAACCAGATGTGGAGGTCCTGGGCTGCGATTGTGATGCCGGTTGGATGTACTGCCAAATTCTCTAAAACGACGTTGGAGGCGGCTTACGGTAGAGAAATGAACATTCAATTCTCTGGCAACAGCTCTGGTGGACATTCCTGCAGTCAGCATGCCAATTGCACGCTCCCTCAAAACTTGAAAACATCTCTGGCATTGTGTTGTGTGACAAAACTGCACATTTTAGAGTGGCCTTTTACTGTCCCCAGCACAAGGTGCACCTGTGTAATGATCATGCTGTTTAATCAGCTTCTTGATATGCCACACCTGGCAGTGGATGGTTTATCTTGGCAAAGGAGAAATGCTCACTAACAGGGATGTAAAGAAATGAGTGCCAAAAAAAATTATAATTTTGTGCATATGGAACAATTCTGGGATCTTTTATTTCAGCTCATGAAACACTTTACTTTACACTTTGCGTTTATATTTTTGTTGAGTTTTATTCTGGAAGATTGAATAAAACTGAAAGGCTATTACACTCCAGCTCCTCATCACGTTGTAATGCAGCTTCTGTTATTGTTTTATGACTGGGAAAGAATAATGTATATATTACATATGGCCCATTGAAAAAAATTATTTCCATCTCAAAAGGCACTCATCTGGATAAATAAAAGGACACATACCACTAAATAAAATCAAAAACATGAGAAGCGTTTTAAAGCCCTCCTGCTCTGCTGGTTGAGGAGCTCCACACGCTGGTTCCTGAGGTTCCTCCCAGGCCCACCTCGGTGCTCCCTCGCCCCCCTAGGGACTGAGACTGGCCCCCTACCGGCAGGGGCTCCTCGATGGAAGACAGTTCTAGGTCGCTCTCCTCATCTGATAACTAGGACAAATGGAACATGTACGAACATTGAATAATGATTGTGTAAGTATCACACAATGAAACAGAAACAGGTCTATGGCTAAAGTATTGCGAGAGAAAATATACAATAAAAGTATACTGATGCATCGAGATACATTATAAAAAGGCTCATACATGCTTATAACAATTTATAAAGCATTATACCCTACAACCTTAAGTAACGTGTTAGAGTTTACAGTTCCTTCAGAAAGTATTCATAGCCCTGGACTTGTTCCTACATGTTGTTGTGTTACAGCCTGAATTCAAAATTGATTAAATTGATATATATTTTCCTCACCCATCTACACACAATACCCCATAATGACAAAGGGAAAACTTATTTTTTAGAAATGTTAGCAAATGTACTGAAAATGAAATACAGAAATATCTAATTTACATACACTACCGTTCAAAAGTTTGGGGTCACTTAGACATTTCATTGTTTTCCATGACAACATACATGAAATGAGTTTGAATAGGAAATATAGCAAAATTAATAGGAAATGTAGTCATTGACAAGGTTAGAAATAACGCTTTTTAATTGTGTCCTTCAAACTTTGCTTTCGTCAAAGAATCCTCCATTTGCAGCAATTACAGCCTTGCAGACCTTTGGCATTCTAGTTGTCAATTTTGAGGTAATCTGAAGAGATTTCACCCCATGCTTCTTGAAGCACCTCCCACAAGTTGGATTGGCTTGATGGGCACTTCTTAAGTACCATACGGTCAAGCTGCTCCCACAACAGCTCAATAGGGTTGAGATCCGGTGACTGTGCTGGCCACTCCATTATAGACAGAATACCAGCTAACTGCTTCTTCCCTAAATAGTTCTCGCATAGTTTGGAGCTGTGCTTTGTGTCATTGTCCTGTTGTAGGAGGAAATTGGCTCCAATCAAGCGCCGTCCACAGGGTATGGCATGGCGTTGCAAAATGGAGTGATAGACTTCTTTCTTCAAGATCCCTTTTACCCTGTACAAATCTCCCACTTTACCACCACCAAAGCACCCCCAGACCATCACATTGCCTCCACCATGATTGACAGATGGCATCAAGCACTCCTCCAGCATCTTTTCATTTGGTCTGATTCTCACAAATGTTCTTCTTTGTGATCCGAACACCTCAAACTTCAATTTGTCTGTCCATAACACTTTTTTCCAATCTTCCTCTGTCCAGTGGCTGTGTTCTTTTGCACATCTTAATCTTTTCTTTTTATTGGCAAGTCTGAGATATGGCTTTTTCTTTGCAACTCTGCCAGAAGGTCAGCATCCCGGAGTCGCCTCTTCACTGTTGACGTTGAGACTGGTGTTTTGCGGGTACTATTTAATGAAGCTGCCAGTTGAGGACCTGTGAGGCGTCTGTTTCTCAAACTAGACACTAATGTATTTGTCCTCTTGCTCAGTTGTGCACCGGGGCCTCCCACTCCTCTTTCTATTCTGGTTAGAGCCAGTTTGCGCTGTTCTGTGAAGGGAGTAGTACACAGTGTTGTACGAGATCTTCAGTTTCTTGCCAATTTCTCGCATGGAATAGCCTTCATTTCTCAGCATAAGAATAGACTGATGAGTTTCAGAAGAAAGTTCTTTGTTTCTGGCCATTTTGAGCCTGTAATCGAACCCACAATTGCTGATGCTCCAGATACTCAACTAGTCTCAAGAAGGCCAGTTTTATTGCTTCTTTAAAATCAGCACAACAGTTTTCATCTGTGCTAACATAATTGCAAAAGGGTTTTCTAATGATCAATTAGCCTTTTAAAATGATAAACTTGGATTAGTAAACACAATGTGCCATTGGAACACAGGACTGATGGTTGCTGATAATGGGCCTCTGTACGCCCATGTAGATATTCCATTAAAAATCATCCGTTTCCAGCTACAATAGCCATTTACAACATTAACAATGTCTACACTGTATTTCTGGTCAATTTGATGTTATTTTAATGGACAAAAAATTGCTTTTCTTTCGAAAACAAGGACATTTCTAAGTGACCCCAAACTTTTGAACGGTAGTGTGAGTCAATACTTTGTAGAAGCACCTTTGGCAGCGATTAGAGCTGTCAGGCTTTCTGGGTAAAAGGCGCTGCATGGCCAATCCGACGTCTGCATTGGTCATGCAGCATTTACGGTGATACGACAGCAGAAGTCAGGGCATTCATACTTCTTGCGCTTCGCAGAGCAGTGCAGAGCTGTTGTCAAGGAAGTGAGTTTGTGTTTATACAGGACCTCCCGCCCCCACCTACCGTCAACCAATCATGTCAATGCGGAGCTATACGGAGCCCTTCTCATTGTTACAACATTTGGGAGGCGCACAGCGATGCGGCACGGAGCTCAATTTGGCCTCTGCCATGCCTCTGGAGGCACCTCGATATGGAGCCTCCGACCATTGGTTTTAAGTCTCTAAGAGCTTTCCATACCTGGATTGTACAACATTTGCCCATTATTATTTTCAAAATTCTTCAAGCTCTGTCAAATTGGTTGTGTAGCTCAGTTGGTAGAGCATGGCGCTTGCAACGCCAGGGTTGTGGGTTCGATTCCCACGGGGGGGCCAGTATGAAAATAAATGTATGCACTCACTAAAACTGTAAGTCACTCTGGATAAGAGCGTCTGCTAAATGACTAAAATGTAAATGTAAAATGTTGATCATTGCTAGACAACCATTTTCAGGATTTTCAAGTAGATTTAAGTCAAAACTATAACTCGGCTACTCAGGAACATTCATTGTCTTCTTGGTAAGCAACTCCAGTGTTGATTTGGCCTTGCGTTTTAGGTTATTGTCCTGCTGAAAGTTGAATTCACCCCCAGAGTCTGGTGGAAAGCAGGTTTTCCTCTAGGATTTTGCCTGAGCTTAGCTCCATTCCGTTTCTTTTTAATCCTGAAAAACTCCCCAGTCCTTAACAATTACAAGCATACCCATAACATGATGCAGCCACCCCTATGCTTGAAAATATGGAGAGTGGTACTCAGTAATGTGTTGTATTGGCTTTGCCCCAAACATAACACTTTGTATTCAGGACAAAAAGTGAACTGCTTTGCCATATTTTTTGCAGTATTACTTTAGTGCCTTACTGCAAACAGGATGCATGTTTTGAAATATTTGTTTTTCTGTACTGACTTCCTTCTTTTCACTCTGTCAATTAGGTTAGTATTGTGGGGTAACTACAATGTTGTTGATCCATCCTCAGTTTTCTTCTAACAGCCATTAAACTCTGTAAATGTTTTAAAGTCACCATTGGCCTCATGTTGAAATCCCTGAGCGGTTTCCTTCCTCTCTGGCAACTGAGTTAGGAAGGACACCTGTATCTTTGTAGTGACTGGGTGTATTGATACACCATCCTAAGTGTAATGAATAACTTCACCATGCTCAAAGGGATATTCAATATCAGCTTTTTTTATTTTTACCCATCTACCAATAGGTGCCCATCTTTGCGATGCATTGGAAAACCTCCCTGGTGTTTGTGGTAGTCATTCAAAAATCATGTTAAACACTATTACTGCACACAGAGTGAGTCCATGCAACTTATTATGTGACTTGTTAAGCTACTTTTTATTCCTGAACCTATTTAGGCTTGCCATAACAAAGGGGTTGAATACTTATTGACGCAAGATATTTCAGCTTTTCATTTTTAATTTGTAAACATTTCAAAAAACATAGTTCCACTTTGACATTATGGGGTATTGTGAGTAGGCCAGTGACAAATAATCTACATTTTATTCATTTTAAATTCAGGCTGTAACACAACAAAAATGTGGAAAAAGTAAAGGGGTGCGAATACTTTTTGAAGGCACTGGGTACCTGTAGGGTTTTTACAGCTGTCCTGGGTTTGGGTACGACCTTGGCTGCTGCTGGTGGCACCACTCTGGTCCCTCCTACTGGCTTGTTCATTGGAGAGTTCAACTGTCTCTCCAAGCTTCTGGTCAGGGATTTAACCACAGACCCTGCCAACACAAACAAGGAACCCAGCTCAAATCATCCTTAAACGCTGATAATTCTTTAAAATAGAGCCCTGGCAAGATGAAAACTTACTGTATAGTAATGCAATGAAAATACAATGTGTAGAACTGTAAGATTTACATCGTGAGATGACAAGCGTTGGGAGATTGGCCCCTATCGTGGGCTAAAAGAGATCCAAATAAACTAACAAGCTTAACCTTGTGCTCCACGGTGGGCAGTTAGACTGGCCGGCCCGTCTGAGAGCTCTGTGTCTGTCCCAGACCAGTCCTCTCCCTGGGTAGAACCAGCCATAGGGTACTTCTGCCTTGGGCTGGATCCAGACCGCACCACCCTCACAGAGGGGCCAGACCTACTGCCAGGGCTGGTGACATAGGCACTGTCTTCTCCTGACTCGTCACCCTCAGAACTGAAAGGAGGGGTGCTGAGAGAGAAATACATGTTTCTGACACTAACGCTCACTTAAAGAGGAGGGGGATCTTTATCTTTATTTAATTTTTTACATAAAACATTAAAACAGACACAATTATAAACTGAAATCTATTCAAAACACATTCTTACAAAACAAATCCCAAGACAGGGAGAGGTGCTGAAAGAGAAATAAATATTTGTCACTAATAACACACACTTACAGGGGAGGGGTTATGCTCCTCAGGGAGTTAAAAGTAAGTACAATACAGGAGAGGACAGGAGAGGAGAGGAGATGAGAGAACAGGACAGGAGGGCACAGAACAGGAGAGGAGAGAACAGGACAGGAGAGAACAGGAGAGGAGAGGAGATGAGAGAACAGGACAGGAGAGCACAGGACAGTATAGGAGAAAACCGTACAGGACAGGAGTGGGGTGTGTTCAGTGTATACTGTGGGCATGGCAGTGGGGTGTGTTCAGTGTATACTGTGGGCATGGCAGTGGGGTGTGTTCAGTGTATACTGTGGGCATGGCAGTGGGGTGTGTTCAGTGTATACTGTGGGCATGGCAGTGGGGTGTGTTCAGTATATACTGTGGGCATGGGCAGTGGGGTGGTGTTTCAGTATATACTGTGGGCATGGGCAGTGGGTGTGTTCAGTATATACTGTGGGCATGGCAGTGGGGTGTGTTCAGTGTATACTGTGGGCATGGCAGTGGGGTGTGTTCAGTATATACTGTGGGCATGGCAGTGGGGTGTGTTCATTATAAACTCTGGGCATGGCGTGTTCAGCGTATACTGTGGGCATGGCAGTGGGGTGTGTTCAGTATATACTGTGGGCATGGCAGTGGGGTGTGTTCAGTGTATACTGTGGGCATGGCAGTGGGGTGTGTTCAGTGTATACTGTGGGCATGGCAGTGGGGTGTGTTCAGTATATACTGTGGGCATGGCAGTGGGGTGTGTTCAGTATATACTGTGGGCATGGCAGTGGGGTGTGTTCAGTATATACTGTGGGCATGGCAGTGGGGTGTGTTCAGTATATACTGTGGGCATGGCAGTGGGGTGTGTTCAGTATATACTGTGGGCATGGCAGTGGGGTGTGTTCAGTATATACTGTGGGCATGGCAGTGGGGTGTGTTCAGCATATACTGTGGGCATGGCAGTGGGGTGTGTTCAGTATATACTGTGGGCATGGCAGTGGGGTGTGTTCAGTATATACTGTGGGCATGGCAGTGGGGTGTGTTCAGTATATACTGTGGGCAATGCAGTGGGGTGTGTTCAGTATATACTGTGGGCATGGCAGTGGGGTGTGCTCAGTATATACTGTGGGCATGGCAGTGGGGTGTGTTCAGTATATACTGTGAGCATGGCTGTGGGGTGTGTTCAGTATATACTGTGAGCATGGCTGTGGGGTGTGTTCAGTATATACTGTGGGCATGGCAGTGGGGTGTGTTCAGTATATACTGTGGGCATGGCAATGGGGTGTGTTCAGTATATACTGTGGGCATACCTGTTCTTTTTTCTATGAGTGCTTGGTGTCTGTTGAGGTTGTGGAGCTTTCTCTCTCCTCGGGGAGGCCTTCACCTTCACCGGGGTCCTCAGGGAGGCCTTCACCTTCACCGGGGTCCTCAGGGAGGCCTTCACCTTCACCGGGGTCAGTCTGCTCTTTGGGCTCTTCTCCTGGCTAGGTCTCCTCTTCTCTGAAGACAAACATGTTAGTGTGCTAAGCAGGGCTGGGGGATTTCAGTTCACTTCCTGAATTGACTGAATTGAAATAGAATTGACCCCATCCCTGGTACTGAGAGCATGAGTGTGTATGTGAGAATGTAGGGACTGAGAAGCACTGCCCCCTGGAGGTATAATAATATAATAATAATATGCCATTTAGCAGACGCTTTTATCCAAAGCGACTTACAGTCATGCGTGCATACATTATAATTTTTTTGTGTATGGGTGGTCCCGGGGATCGAACCCACTACCTTGGCGTTACAAACGCTGTGCTCTACCAGCTGAGCTACAGAGGACCACAAGGTGATGTTACATGGTTCTTGGACCTGAGGGTTAGGTACAACACGGAGGTGGTATTGGTCCTTACTGTGCGACTGAGGGGTGGTACTGGGTAAAGTAGGTATGGTGGTCCCCTGGCTCCTCTGCAGGCGGTGCACCCTGCGGGTTAGCTCTCTTGCCAAGCTCTCTCTGAGCTCCAGGAGGTCTGCTATCTGTCTGGACATCTGCTGTCGCTGACCAGATACCAACGAGCTCAGGCTCTTAAGGGTATTCTTGGATATACCCTTGGTTCCCTGGAATATAACAGAAGGGATTTTAGATATACATGACTTCTCCGATTAATGACAGATTTTGACTTTTGGGATCACTTATTCAGTTAGAGAGAGCACTGTCCTGAATATATGGATTTCCTTGCATGTAAAGGGTACATACATTAGGGTGTCCACCCATAAAATGATTATTTAATATGTTCATTCAATAGAGAATGACATCAGAAAAATATTAGTCCAACCCGTATGTCTCTACCATATATATATATATGTTACAGACGATCTACTCTGAGAATTTAGCATGATTAGAGTGAATGGAATGTCATTGGTCAAAAGTGGGCGCTGCTCAATAGAACTCTGTCACTGCTCTGTGGGCAGAACGGCGCTAACTTCGAAACGTCAACTCGCTAGCTAGCGGCTGCAGGTCTGTGTGTGATAACATGGGCTTTTTCTAAACGAAATCCGCGGAACACAAAACAAAATTGAGCCTATATATACACACAGTATATATTAATTTACAAAGCTAACAGACTGAATTTCAATATCCTCCCTCTCTGAAGAAAATTATAATTTGAATTATGTATTTCTGAGTCTTTCCCTTTAAATCGCCATAGAAACAGCCCCTCAACACTGATTGACCAGGGTTAGAGGAATAGAACACCATGGATCTGGTCAGATGAAAATGACGAGGGTATCAAGTTGATTTTTGATTGGTCCAAAGCGCAGAAACGCCTCCTAAATGTTACCACCTCCCAACGCCGAAATATGGAAGAGATACAACCAAGAGCTGAACAGTCTAAACTACCAACGGTCACAGCAAACAAATGTTCTTATTTAAATCAACACTTAAGTAAAAACATACTTAGGTTATAATATTGAAGAGAACAATCTAATGTTTAATTGTATGTAATTCATAAATGACATAGGCTAAAGAAAATAAGGTTTAGACATTCATTTCGTAGCCCCCTCTTGAACTGACCTGTATTCCCCTACATTCTAGAGCAGAGAACACCCTATATACACTCACTTTAACTTTGCGACAGCTGCTGATTTGATTGACTGAGTGATTGATTGAATACAGTGCACGTACCTTTCTGAGGCCCATGTTCTCCAGCCTCTCCTCAAGGGTTCTCTCTAGTATGGGTCTGAACTCCTTCACCAAGGCGGGGTTCCTCCGGAGGGACTCCAACAGCCTCCTCCTGGTCTCACCAGAGTCCTCCAGACCTAGGAGATATCACAGGATAGCAAAATGTTGACTGTATTCTTCTAGAAAAAGCAGACTCCAAAAGATTCATGATTCATAGTATGATTAATACATACTTTCTTCCTCCTCCTCCTCCTCCTCCTCTGTGGAGTGTTGGACCGCTTGTTTGATGGGAGTGTCTGAAATAAAACCATCACATTAACATAGAACATAGTATCTTGAACACAATAAAAGTCTAGAGTTATGAGGCCTGGTGTTTTTGTATTACCTGCCACTGGTCTTCTAGACATCTTGTTGATCTGTAACGCAGACAGTATTCCAACCCTGATAAAAACGCTCTTGACCAAGACAATAACTTAACACAGCGCCATAATTACAGACGAACATCATCAACAACAACGGCGTAGCTTGGTAGCCGATGACAGTACCTTATCCTCCTGAGACCTGATGAGCCGGTCTTTCTGTTTGACCCTGGTAGACAGGGAGGTGACCAGCTGCTCTAGCCTGTGTAGGTCTGACCTTTGGTCTACAGACAGGGCCAGACGCAGCCTGTCATTCTCACTCTGCAGCTGAGGAGGACAACACGTTAGAAGGAGAATACTTTAGTGTCCGCTATTCAACCCAACCCCCGACACACACACACACACACACATCCAAAGAAGGGGGCACCAAGCACAGACATATGTCTTACCTCGTCTCTCTCCAACAGGTGCCTGTTCTGGACCTCCATAAACCGTTTCTTCCACTCACGCTTCTGAAGGAGACAGACAGAGAGAGATGCTCTAACATAGATTTTAGTTGAACCTTTTGTTAATTCTCATGATCTCATAGCAACATGTCTTTAATAGACCACATACTGACATTTCAGCTTGTGATAGATAGATACCGTCCAGAAGTGTACAGAACCCAGGTAGTGGGCATGTTCTGGAACGTTCTGTGTTACCTGCTGAGTCATCTTCTCCTTCACCTCCCTCTCCTTTCTCTGCTGCAGCTCATCCACCTCATGATAGGAGCCCAGGTTAGAAACGGTCACTTCTCTGGTCTGCAGCTCCTGCAGTTTCTGTCAAGTGAGTTTTCACCATCTTGTTAAGTCATGAGACAACATAGCAGAAGCCCACCCACAGTAAGTAAAGACAAAACTGAACTTATGTTAAATGTTGGCGTTAAGCATTTGTTTTACAAAAAATATATCAAGGTATTAAAAAAAAAGGAAAACCTGCATCCGCATTTGGGGAAACAGCGGCACTGTTCGCCTCAGCGGCTTGTTATTGTTTTGATGGTGAAACGGATGAGAGGAGCGTCCGGCAGCGTTGTAAAAACAAATATAATAAATGGCAGTACATATTCTGCTGTTCTATCGTGCGTGCAATGATGTCCGAGGGGAAAGAAACAGTGTTGATTGTTTGCAGTAACTCACTTGTTGTTGAAAATATCCCAAACGGATGTGACCGTTTCGCCATTAAGGATTCTAGCGTCAAAGGCCTCAGAAAAAAAGACTGCTACTGGATTGTGTGTAGGCTAGCAGCAGGGGTGTGCTCCAGCTTTGCAAGCTGCTCATTCTTTACACTGTGGCGCCATCTAGTGGCTGGAAAAACACTACACCTTCTATTGGATCAACATCGCTTTACCACCGCGCCACTAGGCCCTGGTTCATGCATGTCCTTTAAATGGGAATAGGACTCACAGCCTCGATGGAGGAGCTCTTGCTGGCCATATGTCTGAACTCCTGCAGGAACAGCCGCTTCAGGTCCCTCATCTCCTCCTGAAACGTCTTCCTCTCCTCCTCCTTCCAGCTCTCCATCTTCTCTCGCTCCGAGGCCTCTTTCCTTCGCTGATAGTCCAGCTCCTGGTGGTTAAACCCATTGAAGCACTCATGAGAGACAGCAGTATAGATATAGATTTGGGATGGGCAACTTTGATGGGGGTGGGGACCACAAAAAAAAATCTGAACACATCATGAGGGGACCACAGTGGAGAGAGAGTACTGTCCTGAATTTGCCTGTTTTGGAGGCGGAGTGGTTTCACCTCTTTTCTGAGTATATAACCAGCTTCTCAGGCTCCATCTCAGTGTGCTTCATTCTATAGCTAGAGGACTCCTAAATCTCCAGGAGTGATAAGTATAATGTTTGTCTTTATCTGTTGTCGTCTAGTACTGTCTTTTTGCTGGCTAGGGCCATCTACATTAAGTGCTGCCTTTCTTCCCAGTAGCCTACTTGGTGTGTGAACGGCTGACTGCTCATAACTTGCAGATGATTGTTGACACATCAACCGGGATCAAGAGGCAGGGCAAGTTTTGGTAATCAGTGGCTATCACCCACCAGGTGCCCTTACATAGTTCCTCAATGAGCTTTACACCTTGATAAACTCATTTCCTGACGATGGCTCATCGTCAGGAGGTTGAAGCCGCTCAGTACGTCTTCCTTCAATTAATTTCTTTCCACCTTCCTTTCCCCTCCTTGACTTCACCCTTTCCCAGTCCCTTCATACTCACAAGGCAGGCAATACACTTGTGTGTGGTGTTACCTGCTGTTTCCTAAGAGCCTCTGCTTCCCTCTCCATCTCCAGTCTGATCTGGGCCAGTTTCAGCCTCTCTCTCAGCTCCTCTATCCCATCCTCCATCTGTTCCACCTGCCTCTTCTTCTGCCGCTCTGAGGAGAGGACAACAGACAGCAGTGATCTGCCTCTCTGAGGAGAGGACCGCAGTGATCTGCCTCTCTGAGGAGAGGACCGCGGTGATCTGCCTCTCTGAGGAGAGGACCGCTGTGATCTGCCTCTCTGAGGAGAGGACCGCGGTGATCTGCCTCTCTGAGGAGAGGACCGCGGTGATCTGCCTCTCTGAGGAGAGGACCGCAGTGATCTGCCTCTCTGAGGAGAGGACCGCGGTGATCTGCCTCTCTGAGGAGAGGACCGCGGTGATCTGCCTCTCTGAGGAGAGGACCGCAGTGATCTGCCTCTTTGAGGAGAGGACCGCGGTGATCTGCCTCTCTGAGGAGAGGACCGCGGTGATCTGCCTCTCTGAGGAGAGGACCGCGGTGATCTGCCTCTCTGAGGAGAGGACCGCGGTGATCTGCCTCTCTGAGGAGAGGACCGCAGTGATCTGCCTCTCTGAGGAGAGGACCGCGGTGATCTGCCTCTCTGAGGAGAGGACCGCGGTGATCTGCCTCTCTGAGGAGAGGACCGCAGACAGCAGCGAATGCAACCACTCAGTGAATATTAGATCATGGTGTAAGTAGGAAACATTGAGGTGGAAGGTTCAATTCATGCATGGGGCATATGTGCCACTTTCAATGGTGACAGTTCTGTAAGTCACTTTGGTTAAAAAGAGTTAAGCGTCTACTAAATGAACATATCATTATTTTAAAAAAATGTACTCTAATCACATAACATAGTAGTGTTCAAACCTCCTAACCAGATAAACGTGTGTTATAATGCATTGTGTGTTGACTGACTACTTACAATAAAGAGTATTCAGGTACAAAGGGTCTGAGGAGTGTGGTTATCAAACCAACCTGTGTCTGTCACCTCTGGATGCCTGCGTTGTAGGTGGGCTTGTAAGTAGGAATAGTTGATGAAGGATTTCTCACAGCATTGGCACTGAAAAATATCATACTTTGGTCAGGGTGGAGGGTACAGAGATGGTCAGGGTGGAGGGTACAGAGATGGTCAGGGTGGAGGGTACAGAGATGGTCAGGGTGGAGGGTACAGAGATGGTCAGGGTGGAGGGTACAGAGATGGTCAGGGTGGAGGGTACAGTACAGAGATGGTCAGGGTGGAGGGTACAGTACAGAGATGGTCAGGGTGGAGGGTACAGAGATGGTCAGAGTGGAGGGTACAGAGATGGTCAGGGTGGAGGGTACAGAGATGGTCAGAGTGGAGGGTACAGTACAGAGATGGTCAGGGTGGAGGGTACAGAGATGGTCAGAGTGGAGGGTACAGAGATGGTCAGGGTGGAGGGTACAGAGATGGTCAGAGTGGAGGGTACAGAGATGGTCAGGGTGGAGGGTACAGAGATGGTCAGGGTGGATATACAAATACATATATATTTTTTAATGGTAGGTTTATTTGAACAGTTAGAGACAGAATAACAGTGGAGGGTATGGAGGAAGAACTGTCAGAAGAACAGTCTTTCCTATTGGCTTAGTGTTTTCTGTCATTCTTACAGTCAGTGCAGACTGCAGAGGTGAAGCTTTTCATGAGGCATTTACTTAAAACGAAATTATGACACTTAATAGTATTAAATTCTTGGTCAGGAGGACCAAAGGGTTTAACGACATTGTGATCTCATCAAACTGACATTTAGAACTACGCTCACTTGATACTAAACCTGAGTACCCCAAGCCAATTTGAAAGAATAAATTCAAGACAGCAGTAAAGCACAGAAGTGAGTTGACACTTCTGGGGATGGGTAAAATAAAATAATATAATTTGATGGTCCATCCGGATGTAAAAAGGAGGACCGGGTGTAGTCCAACGATAACGTTTACCTTGTGGTAGTTGTTGAAGCTAGCCTGTAGCAGAAGCTGCTGTGTGGCGATCATCTTCTTCCTACGCTTGCTCTCCTGTTTGGTGGCCTGTAGCTCAGAGTCCAGCCTGGCCCTCTCCTCTCCCTCTCGGTCTGCCTTAGAGAGGGCCCTCTGTAGACGCTCCTCCAGACCAGACAGCTGGGAGCTCAGGTAGTCCTGACAGTGCAGCAGGTACTCTGTGCTGAGCTGGGACATACGTAGGAGCTTGACAAGGGCCGGGTCAGCAGGGCTACGGCAGTGGGGACACCTCTCACCTTCAGGGATGGAGTTGGGGTCCATTTTAAATCTAAACAGTCCTTGTTTGGTGCATTAAACCAATAAGCAATAAAGTGTTGTTGTTTTTTTTATGGGTGGTTCGCACACAAAAATGGAAAGAACTCAGGACAGTTCAATTGACCGAAGTAAAATGGAATTGACCCCAGCGCCAACCCTGCTCTGTTACCTGTGACATCACAGAAGGTGACAGCAGATATGTACTCCTGCAGTAGAACCACGTCCATCTCCCTGGCCACGCGATCCACGTCCAGGGCAGAGAGGCGCCGCCAGTCCATGGTTTCAGTTCGGGCTCGGAAACATAGGGGCTGCAGGGGGCCAGGGCTCCGTGAGGAGGGGAAGGAGACAGGAGGGTCACTGGGGGTGCTGAACCGGCCAGGCATGGTGGTGTAGGATCTGGGAGGGGAGGAGGTGGGGTAGTGGGCCTCGGAGGAGATGCAGCTGTGAAAGAAAGATAACCATATTTACACTGAACAAAAATATAAAACGCAACATGTAAAGTGTTGGTCCCATGTTTCATGAGCTGAAATTAAAGATCCCAGAAATGTTCCATACGCACAAAAAGCTGATTTCTCTCAAATGTTGGTTTACATCCCTGTTAGTGAGCATTTCTCCTTTGCCAAGATAATCCATCCACCTGACAGGTGTTGCATATCAAGAAGCTGATTAAACAGCAGGATCACTACACAGGTGCACCTTGTGCTGGGAACAATAAAAGGCCACTCTAAAATGCGCCGTTTTGTCACACTACACAATGCCAGAGATGTCTCAAGTTTTGAGGGAGTGTGCAATTGTCCTGCTGACTGCAGGAATGTCCACCAGAGCTGTTGCCAGAGAATGTAATGTTCATTTCTCTACCATTAGAGAATTTGGCAGTATGTCCAACTGGCCACAACCGCAGACCATGTGTAACCATGCCAGCCCAGGATCTCCACAGCCGGCTTCTTCACCTTGGACTCAAACATTAACTGGTGGTAACTATCTTGTTTCAATAAACGCCTGGAGAAGAATGGCTGATTACAAAACACAAACAAACAGGATTGTTGCTGCATCCTTGTTGCTATCCTTTCCACAGGAGAGAGAACAACAGATCACCGCCTTCCTTTCAATAGGGATTTGACTGGTCCTGTGTGGCAGTTGATATGAGGGAGGCGCTAGCTAGCAACGCCAATGGGTCGTGGGTTTAATTCCCGCATGGATCGCATACACACAACTAGGATTGTGGCTAGCTAAACTCACGGGACTAACGTTAAATGGCACGAGACGTAACTAGCTACCTAGATCTGACGGCAAAGAGTTACCCGTAAATGAGAAAATGCATCATGGCATATTGAAAGTTTCAAAGTTAGCTAGCTTGCTTACCTGTCCTTGGCTTAGCCCTGTTTTGCCCACTTGCTTGCTGCTGGGAAGTGAACGTATTGGCACTATTCTAAAATTTGCAATATTTCAGTAAAAGTTTTCTAGACACACAACTTTACAAAAAATGTAACTTGCACGAATAATGCACAGGGTGTTCTCTAGCTTGCACCAAAAACTGTGTGATGGGTGGAGGGCTGTCCCCCTGCTGAGTTCTACAGGGGAGGGTGGAGCAACAAGGCACGCTCCGGCTGTTACCTAGGAAACGAAACGCCCTTTGGGCAATTGTCTTGCGTCAGATGGCGTCACTCCTACGCGACGCTCGTCCCACGAACTATTTGGGATCGTATGGGCCTGACTTCAGTGCGTTCAAGACAGCTGGGAACTTGGAAAAAAACGAGCTCCGACTGGGAAAGATATTTTGAACAGTCATCCAACTCGCAATTCCAAGATGGAAACGCAGGTATCTTTCTAGAGCTCCGACTTTCCGACCTGAAGATCAGTGACATCATGATTTGACCTAATTTTTTTCTCGAGTTGCCAGTTGTCTTAAAAACACCATTATGCCGCGTTCAAGTACTAGTCGGAACTAGGAAACTCAGAAATGTTTGACTTGCTAACTGGTTGAACGCAGCACGTGTATAACTACAACCTGTTAGCATGTCTGAGCATGGGCATTAATATCTTCTGGAAAGGCTTTCCACTAGATGTTGGAACATTACTGCGAGGACTTGCTTCTATTCAGCCACAAGAGCATTAGTGAAGTCGGGCAATGACGTTGGGCGATTAGGCCTGGCTCGCAGCCTGCGGTCATCCCAAAGGTGTTCGATGGTGTTGAGGTTAGGGCTCGGTGCTGGCCAGTCAAGTTCTTTCACACCGATTTCGACATCGACCTCGCTTTGTGCACAGGGGCATTGTCATGCTGAAACAGGAAAGGGCCTTCCCTGAACTGTTGCCACAAAGTTGGAAGCACAGAATCGTCTAGAATGTCATTGTGTGCTGTAGCGTTAAGATTTCCCTTCACTAGAACTCTTGGGGCCGAGCCCGAACCGTGAAAAACAGCCCCAGAACATTATTCATCCTCCACCAAACTGTTCTGTTGGCACTATACATTCAGGCAGTTAGCGTTCTTCGGGCATACGCCAAACCCAGATTAATCCGTTGGTCTGCCACTCCAGAGTACGCATTTCCAGTGTCCAATGGCATGAGCTTTACACTACTCTAGCCGACACTTGGCATTGCCCATGGTGATCTTAGGCCCGGCCATGGGAACTAATTTCATGAAGCTCCTGACGAACAGTTATTGTGCCGAAGCTGCTTCCAGAGGCAGTTTGGAACTTGGTAGTGAGTGTTGCAACCGAGGACAGACAATTTTTACACGCTTCAGCACTCGGGTCCTAGATGTTTCCACTTCACAATAACAGCAGAGATTGGAGATTGCATGGCTGTGTGCTCGATTATATACACCTGTCAGCAACAGGTGTGGCTGAAGTAGCCGAATCCACTCATTTGAAGGGGTGTCCACATACTTTTGTATATATAGTGTACTTTTCCCAAAACACCATGCAGAGAGAACATATGTCAATAATAGTAGGATCAAAAGAAAGGCAAGGCAGCTCTCTGATCAGCTTTCTCCATTCAAATCTGAACTTAAAATGTGAATTATTCCACAATACTGACAACGGATCAGCTCCTAGAAAGGTATAATCACATATGGCTGAAAATATTGAGTCATTTTATTATAATGCTTACGCTATAATAATGCACTAAATCAAGATTTGGAACATCATTGCTCACATGTTTAAGGCTACCAATCATGAAAAATATTCAAACAAATTACAGACAGTAGCAATCAATTAGCAAAATAGAACTCAATTGATTGAACATTACATTGAAATAGGTCTATAGCCTACTGTAGGCTATTTAAATGTAATGCTTTCATCTCGGGTTTTAATTTGAAGCATTTTTTATATGTCGCTTGTTTTTATCAATTGCTAAGACATTGGCAACTTTGTATTTGTAGTCCACTTTGTTGTGAAGTTATCTGCGGTCACAGAGAAGCGGATAAACCATGTGATTCTGTGTATAAAGTTATGCGGGAGGGCAAAGAATCATCTAATGACACACGCTTGTTTTACGAGTGGTCTGCGATTACGAGTGTTTTCAAGTGCAACGTTGGTTTTGGCACAGTTTCTAAACCCAGAGGCGCAATATCGCGAGACTCTCGGGAACGCTTGCAAAACAGACCAAACGGAGAAGGCCGGGGTTTGAGAAGTCAATGAGAGAAATGAACAATTATTCCTTAGTTCTAAATCTAAAGGCACAACCTAGATTCGATCCAATGTCTTAAGTAGGTAAACATGGTATTACTCCAATCTCGTGAAAGTGATGAACTGACACATTTTCACTTTCGTCAAAAACAACTTTATATCGAAGGAGTACCTTTGATTTAACGGCCAGCTCATGCGCAGATCGGCGCGAGACGACCGTGAGACCCAACAACGTGTTTCTACGCCACAGATAAAACAATGAGAGAGATATTTCACTGGACGTATAAATGTGAAGCATCCGCTGGCTGGCAGTGTGGGAAGATGGAACGAGATGGATTTGGGCCGATATTCTGCACATTTTCTCATCGATGAAACATTTGCTCTCAATACAGTTTTCTGTTCCCAAAACTAGAATCTGCTATGAACAGAGTGGACTAAGTTTTGTAGACTTTACCCTTTTGCAAAAAAATTTTTTTAAATCGCACTGTGTAGAAGGAGTGCAAAGGCGAATTGAGTTATTGCACACGCAATAACAGAGTAGGCGTTCCCTAACGGAAATATGCAGACCCCTTGCTAGAACGCGCCAATAGGATCTCGCTAGTGCGTGCTTGGCTCTGCCCATCTCCTTGCTTGTTCTGCCCACTAGGACTCATTTGTTCCCATTGAAAATTACCAGTAGTGGTCTATCTTGGTTTAGTTATAAATCTTTGGTTTAGCTAGCCAACCTCGCCATGACATTACCTACAAGTGTGATCGGGGATTTGTATTGGAGAAGCAGTTTTAGCCAATCTTCATACTGTACTGTCTTTGCTTTTGGGAAAGATTTGAGATGCTCTTACGAAGGTTCTAATGATGAATTTAGCCATAAGATGCTTTTGGGAAAACGGGCCCAGTGCGGTTGTGCAGAAGGAATCGATGTGCTTTCAAATCAAATACAATTTTATTGATCACATACACATATTTAGCAGATGTTATTGGGGGTGTAACGAAATGCTTGTGTTCCTAGCTCCAACAGTGCAACAGTGCAATCTAACAATTCACAACAATACACACAAATCTAAAAGTAAAAGAATGGAATTAAGAAATATATAAATATTAGGACGAGCAATGTCGGAGTGGCATTGACTAAAATACAGTAGAATACAGTATATACATATGAAATGAGTAAAACAGTATGTAAACATTATTAAAGTGACTAGTGTTCCCTTATTAAAGTGACCAGTGAATCCATGTCTATGTATATAGGGCCAGCAGCCTCTAAGGTGCAGGGTTGAGTAACCGGGTGGTAGCCGGCTAGTGATGGCTATTTAACAGTCTGATGGCCTTGAGATAGAAGCTGTTTTTCAGTCTCTCGGTCCCAGCTTTGATGCACCTGTACTGACCTCGCCTTCTGGATGATAGCGGGGTGAACAGGCTGGCTCGGGTGGTTGATGTCCTTGATGATATTTTGGCCTTCCTGTGACATCGGGTGGGTGCTGTAGGTGTCCTGGAGGGCAGGCAGTGTGCCCCCGGTGATCCGTTGGGCAGACCGCACCACCCACTGGAGAGCCCTGCGGTTGTGGGCAGTGCAGTTGCCGTACCAGGGGGTGATACAGCCCGACAGGATGCTCTCAATTGTACATCTGTAAAAGTTTGTGAGGGTCGTAGGGGCCAAGCCTAATTTCTTCAGCATCCTGAGGTTGAAAAGGCGTTGTTGCGCCTTCTTCACCACACTGGCTGTGTGGGTGGACCATTTCAGATTGTCAGTGATGTGTACG